TCGGAACCGATTCCACGGTACTTAACAACAATGCACCCTATCACAGACAATGTTGTATTATAAGAAAGATCTTGATATGTTCTGTTTGACCATGAGCGCAATGCCATTCCTCTTGAATTTGTCAATCCTGACATAGTAAAACCATATGATTGTCAAATTCAAACTGGCCATTTACCAGTACATTTCATCTCACTAATGCCTAGGATATCAATGTGTATGCGTTCCATTGCATTTCAATTTCCAACTTTTCTAGCTATTATTAAGTGTTGTTTACTTAATTTTGAGTTGCGCCCCATCAGTAAATGAAGGCCCCGAAGGCCTGGTGGAGGTGCTGCGCTGTGCGTGTTATCGCCTCCCAACGAAATGGAAGCGCAGTGTCTACCGGCAAGGAGCCACCACAGCCCCAGGCAGAGGCTGGACTGGGCTGGCTGTGGACTCTGCTTCTCTGCCTGCTGCTGTTTCTGGGAATCGGGTGCCAGCTCTGAAGGGCCCCCAGGGGACAGTGATCCCCTTCCCACCTCCCCTGCCCACCCTGCCGGGGAGGGTGGAAGATGCCAGTGAAGAAGAGAGAATCCCCCAGGGTGGCGGTGGCAGCGGCAGTTGCGGAAGACGGAGGCATCAAGAAGTGTAAGTCTCCAATTATTGCAGATCCCAGCCTCCTGCTAGATTAATAAGTGGAAGAGAACATTTTTCAAGCAAGAAGTGCCTGGCTTGATTTTATGAGTATATAGTTCCTGATGAAGTTGTAGGGCCAGAAGGAATGGAAACGTTTTGTGAAGACATTGGTGTTGAACCTGAAAATACTATTATGTTAGTTTAGTGTGGAGATTGGAAACTGAAAACATGGGATTTTTTTTTACCAAGGAAGAATAGTAAAAGGGGATGAGTTCATCACAGTGTGACTGCACAGAAAAGTTACAGAACAAATTTGACTTTCTGCGCTCACACTTGAATGATATTTTGTTATTTAAGAATATCTACAGATATGCCTTTAATGAGCTCTGGTAGCTTTGTGGTTACGAATCAGGCTGTGAACCACAAGGTCAGCAGTTCAAAACTACCAGCGGTTCCTCACGTGAGAGAAAGATGAGGCTTTCTGTTCTGGTAAGGATTTACAGCCTCGGAAACCCTGTACAGGGTCGCTTTGAGTCGGAATCAACTCCACGGCACATAACCACCACCACCACCACAGATATGCCTTTGATTTTGCAAGGCATAAAGATCAGAGAAGCCTTAATATTGATACTGCTAAATCTATGTTAGCTCTTCTGCTTGGGAGGGCATGGCCACTGTTTTCAGTATTTTACCAGTACCTGGAGCAATCAAAGTATGGTGTTATAAACAAAGATCAGTGGTACAATGTATTTGAACTCAGTAGAATGCTCCATGCCGATCCTTGTAACTACCATGAAGATGGTGCTTGGCCTATTCTTCTTGATGAATTTGTTGAGTGTCAAGCATCATAACAAAAACTATTGTGAAGAAAATGCAAACCTTTTGATTCCAATGTGTATACAAACTAATGGGGGGGAGGGAGAATCCAAAGGGTGCATTTTCATTCATATGAAACACTCCTTACAGTACTTTCTTTCCTTTTTTTTTTAAAGGAAAATTCCTTATTACATGTGATGGGCATTGAGCCGCACACCTCTTCTGAGACTGAATATTGAAGTTTTGTTTAGTATGTTTATAACATTTATTTCAGAGCAATAAAGATTCAGATTTATGACAAAAAAAAATTTTTTTTTTTACATCATCATGGTCAAGTCTTCTTTGAAGGGGCAGCTCTTCCCCAGTCATATTTTGTGTGGCTTTCAACCTGAGGGGCTCATCTTCTGGCACTATATCTGACAATGTTCTGTTTTCGTATTCAATATTTCATGTTTCACTATTCAGTATTCTGGTGCTATCTGACAGTGTTCCACTGCTATTCATAAGGTTTTCAGTGATTAAATATTCAGACGTAGTCTGCCTCTCCTTCTATCTATTCTGTCTTTGTTTTGAAACTCAGCTGAAACCTATCCTCCATGGGTGACCCAGCTGATATTTAAAATACTGGTGGCACAGCTTCCAGAATCACAGCAATTCACAAGCCACCACAGTATGACAAACTGACAAATGAGTGGTGGGGAGCCATGTTAGTACAGGTGTATCTTAAACCCAATTCCATTACTCTGGATGTATAAAATGAAGAACAGCTGGGGAAGACAGATGCCAGCCCACATGAAGATCACCAAGGAATGGAGGAATGAAAGCTTTTGAAAAGAGATAAAGGACCTTCCCCCAGAGCCAATAGAGGAAAAGTCTCTGGATTTGGACCACTGGTCTTTTGAACGGTGAGAAAATAAATGTTGGTTAAAAGGCCTCACTTGTTGTCTGCAATAGTAACACTAGGAAACTGAGACAGTACTTAAGTGAGAATTGAGTACAGGTTTTCCTAGTTATATGAAATTGGAGCATTCCTATGAAACCTTTGTTGTTATTGTAGTTATGTGCCATTAAGTGCATTCTGACTCGTAGCAACTCTGTAGAGGGTTTCCAAGGAGCAGCTAGTGGGTTTAAACTGCCAACTTTGCAGTTAACAGATCAGTGTTTATCCTACCACGCCCTGCCAGGACTCCATGAAACCTGTATGAAGCCAAAAAGGCCATCAAGTAAAGAAAGCAGTTACCACTGATTTATACAGGAAAAAATTTGGAGCATTCTCAGACCCAAAAAATAACCTGCCAAATCATACCAAGTAACACAGAAAACCTAAAATTACACTAACATAAAGTGTTCACAGACACAGTAAAAGCTGTGGTGGTCGATGCTGAGATGATGCATGGAGTTCCGGGGGAAGGAGCTTGGTGACACCTCTTTTGCTGCTGTGGGTGCGCGCTGCCTCTCTAAAGGATCACAGAAAAACAAATGCTGAACCGAAAGCAAAAATCCTCTTCAGATTTCTCTGTTAGCAGAGACAGGCACTAATGTGGGTCTTTTGTAAAAGCAAAGTGGCATAAAGCAAGCTTTTGAAACTGGGATGGTGGGGATACCTGATCCAATGTAGATCTTTTGTGTAGCAAAGTGGTGTGAAGCCAACTTTCTAAAAGCAGGCTATCTGTATAGTCTAATTTACTCATGGAAACTTTCTAGTGGGGAGGGTCCACAATGTAAGTGATACAGGGGTACCATCGCCATTGAGGAGACATTGGGCAATGACACCCTGATCACATTCCAGTCTCATCCAACTTCATTGCTCAGTGTATATAGTTAAATTTATGAATGTTAGTGTATGTGAAATTACTGTGTATCTCCTACCTATCTTTTTACATTTTATACACTATTCTTTACCTTGCTTTTGTCACATAATAAATCATGGAGTTTTTTTCCTTATATGTACAAATAACTGTACTTTGGTTAATGGGGACATAGTATTCCTTTGTATGAACTGTATTCATCAAAGAAGTAGTAACTAGTCCCTTATTCTGAGTTGTTTACAGTTTTTTGCTACTTATAAATAGTGCTGCAGTAAATACAAGTACTACTGAATGTATGTTTTTGTGTATATGTTCAGAGATGCCTATAAAAAAGTTTTCCAGAGGCAGAATTGCTGGGTCAGTAAGTGTTTTCATTTGGATTGATATTGCCAGAATGCCCTCTGGAGAGGTTACATCTGCGGTCAAGCATCCTGAGAGCGCTTCCTTCTCCAAACCCTCACCACACAGTGTATGAGCAGACTTGTACGTGTGTGCCAAACTGGAACTTATTTTTGAAGCATTAGTTTGTCCATCATATTTTAGTGGCTAAACTACCATGAACAGATTTGGGAAGATGTTCATGCACCTCATTGCTGGGAGTTGATGTTCCAATCTGATCTGTCTTTCCCCCTTTCTCCTTCCTGAACAGGTAGTTATGCTTGTCCTAGCCTGGAAATTGGATGCACAAAACATGGGTTATTTTACTCTGCAGGAATGGCTGAAAGGGATGACTTCTTTACAGTAAGTTCCAAACCTGCACGAACGGGGTCCCTGCTCCTCCTTCCTGGGACTTCGGGGAGCTGGGGTTGGGTGGGTGGAAGAAAGGTGGTCTGGGCAAGTGTCCAAAGATGTAAAGACATCAAGACCTGTTTTTGTATGCTGAGGAGGGAGGACTATTATGGATGAAGTTTCTCTAGGAATTTTAAATATCTGCTGTTGATTTTAAATTACTCTAGAGCAGCTCAGTCAAATAGTAACATGTTTTCTCACAAATGTGAGCCACATATATAATTGTAACTTTTCTAGTAGCTGCATTAAAAAAGAAAAACGTGGAATTCATTTTAATAATACATTTCATATAGCTTAATATAGTCAAAAAGTATTAATCAGTTTTTGGCAGGTAATATCAAAATTATTCACAAAATCTTTTACATTCTTTAGTTAATACTAAGTCTTCAGATTGCATTAGCTACATTTCAAAGTGTTCAATAGGTACATGTACCTAAACCCAAACCAAACCAACCCACTGTTGCCAAACCAATAGGAACTCATAACTACCCCAAGACAGAGTAGGACTGCTCCCAGGGTTCCCAATGCTATAAATCCTTACAGCAGGAGACTTTATCTTTCTCCCACGGAGTGATTAGTGGGTTTAAATGGCCAACATGCTCCACCAGGACTCCTAATGGTTGCCATATTGCAGTTGTTGCCAAGTTCTTTCAAATTGGTTCCTACTCTTAGAGACCCTGCACAGGGTTTTTTGTTTTTTTTTTATAATTTTTTTTTTTAATGTTTTATTGTGAATTATGTGATAGTTTACATAGGAGAACATCAGTCTTACATTCATTCTATGTATATGGTCTCATTGCCATGGTTACAATCCCCTCCATTGCAATCCTTCCCCCGTACCCACCAGGTCTTCAGCACACAGTCGCTGTCCCTCTCTGGATCTAAAGTCTCCAGCTGCTCCATCGCTCCACGTCATCATCTCTGGCTCCATTTCAGGCATCACTGCTTCTCTGAGTAGGGTCCCGCTCTCGGCTCTTCTCCCTTGATGGTCCTAGGGACCTCCACTCCTAGACTGAAAAGTTAATCACTCCCCTCCTTGCTATAAAACATTTACCTTTACATTTCCGACCCTCACAATCAGTCCTGATAACAATTATTCACTATTGTATCACAAGAGACGCGTCTGCATTTCATTGCATCAGCCCCGCCTAGTCAGATTGAATACTACTCACTGGAGATTCTACCTTCCTCCAGGCCCTCTGGATCTAGGTTCCTTCTTGAAAGCTTGTAAGCCAGTCACTTCTTGCCTTTGTAGCCCTCCACCCCCCATTTTGGGTAGCCAATGTCCGAGTTGCCCATCCCTGTCTACTCTGTGTGTGGAGGGGGTGGGAATGATTCTCCTGCACAGGGTTTTTGAGTCTTTTTAAAATCTCTGCAGAAGCAGAAAGCCTCATCTTCCATGGAGCAGCTGGAGGGCTCGTACCATGGACTTGGTGATTTCCATAGTGGACAGTGTATATCTAGTGCTTAAAAAGCAACAAAGCTTCTGCTCAAAAGCAAAGGTTCATTAATTAGCATCTGGTTTACAGTTAGTGAGAAAAAGTTGAGCAGCATATAACTAACTCATCAGGGAAAATATTTTACATATTCTATTTTATAGATCCTAATTTAATTTTGAGTAAAATTAGAACTTCATAACTCTTAGTGATTAAAAAATCATATTCTGTTTTTGTTAGTCCAGAATAAGAAAAAGATCACTGTTATTTTTTTTAAATGTTTTATTGTGAATTATGTGATAGTTTACATGGGAAAACATTAGCTTTACATTCATCCTATTGTATATCATATCATTGCCATGGTTACAATCCCCTCCTTGCATCATCAACCAACAAAAGGCTACACCCTGCTAGCCTGCACCCCGGTCATCAGCACACAGCCCCTCTCCCTCTCTGGGTCTAGAGTCCCCAGCCGTTCCCTCTCTCCATGTTATCATCTCTGCCTCCATCTCTGGTGTCACTGCTTCTCTGGGTAGGGTTCTGGACTCCACTCTTCTCCCTTGATGGTCCCAGGGACCTCTGCTCCTGGACTGCAAAGTCAACCACTCCCCTTGTTTTGCTACAAAATGTCCACCTTCACATTTCCAACTCTCACAATCAGTCCTGATAACAATTATTCACCATTGTATCACAAGAGACCTATCTGCATTTTCTTTCATCAGCCCCACCCAGACAGATTGTATATTACTCAGTGGAGATTCTACCTTCCTATGCACCCTCTGGATCTAGGCTCCCTCTTGAAAGCCTGTAAGCCAGTTACTTCTTGCCTTAGTAGCCCCCCATTTTGGGTAGGCAGTGTCCCAGTTGCCCATCCCTGCCTACCCTGTGTATCGAGTGGGTGGGAATGATTCTCACTGTAAAGATTTGCTCCCTCTTTTGAGCTACTGCATCCATAGGTATAGGTCAAGTTCATCAAATTGTAACAGATTACTCTTTTTTTCCTCTTCTTTCTTCTTCTAATTGAATTCTGATCATCCAGCAGACAAGTGGGTATTGTCTGCAAGTGTGGGTGTTCTTATGCATATGCCCACTCTCCTTATCAGCTGGACGCTTCACTCTCCACTCTAGTCCTCTGTGGCTATGTCACTGACTCTGGGCCCAGGAGTCCCCATGTCTTGCCACACTGCTGGCCAATCAGTTCTCCACCCGGGTTCACAGGAATCTATTGAATGTTGTAGGGCTTAGCTCACAACTTTGTTGCTGTTTTTCACTCACTTCCCCTGTTATCAGTGACCAATGTGGTCACCAGTCAGAGCTCATGTCTGCTCGTGTATTCCCA